TTTCACTGTCCAGTATACCATCGATGGGCCTTTGGGTTGATTCCAGGTCTTTGATGTTGTAAACATTGCTGCAATGAACATTCGTGTGCATGTGTTCTGATAGTTGAGCGATTTATAATCCTTTGGATATACCCAGTATTAGGATGGCTGGGTCAATGGAATTTCTGTTTTTAGGTCCTTCAGGAATTGCCACACTGTCTTCCACAATGGTTGAACTAATTTACACTCTCACCTTCCCTGAAGGAAACCTGAGGACTGTACCAGTCCTACCTGTGCAGCAGGACGAAAGGCCCGTGGAAGAGTATGGTTTTCACTGTGCTGTGCTTGTCTACTTTTTGCAGGAGTGACCCCCCATTGGGATGAAAAGGCGATTAGGAGAGCTGCGGGTGGGAGCCAGATCCCCACTACAATAAGGCTTTAGAAACCAGGAGCAACACAAAGAAGGCGGGGCCCCACCAGCGCCTAAGCCGCTAAGGATGCACATCCACCAGAAGGTAGAAAGACTATAGAGCAACCTTGCCTGAGTGCACAGGCCACACTTACGTCCAGCATACACGACTCGAACACACACATATAAACACGAAGAAAAATACACATGGACACACATAGACACATGCAGACACACACACACACACCACACACAGAGACACACATACAGAAAGACACACGGAGACATCCAACAGTTGCAGACAGCTCCTGAGGCTGTGGGGTTCTGCTCTCTGCCAGGAAGCCCCTCAGGGAGAGAGCAGCCCCAGCACACAGGCTGGCAGTATCCGGAATTCCCAGCAGGGACAGTTTTTCAGGAGACGCATCCCCCACAGCATCTGAGGAGCCTGAAGTATCCTGGGATTCTTGGGGATCGCCCTGGGCATCCCTGAAGCTCCTCTGCAGCTTTCCTCAGCCTGGCTCCGCCCTGCAAAACTACTGAAATCGCGGTACTGTGGCGACGGTCGACGTTAGATAGGGGGTCGTTGCCCAACTCCGAAGCACTGCCACGGAGGGCCCCTGCCTGGCCAAGCCGCTGAGACGGCGGTTTCCCAGGCCACGGGGCAAAACTACTGAAATCGCGGTACTGCGACGGTCGACGTTAGATAGGGGGTCGTTGCCCAACGCCGAAGCACTGCCACGGAGGGCCCCTGCCTGGCCAAGCCGCTGAGACGGCGGTTTCCCAGGCCACGGGGGCGGTCACTGTGACGTGACCCTCGGGTGGGCGCTCGCGCTTGCCACCCGCCGACTGCGCATGAGCATTGGTATTCCCGGCTGGCCAGCCGCTATGTCTGCACCCCCACCAGCCGGCAGCAGTGGCTTGGAAAAATCCTGGCAGAGGTGTCTTAGGCGGCCCTTGGAAAGAAGGCTGCAGGCCACAAGCAGGGCAGGAGCCCTATCGTCCTGACTTCAGCGGCTCCCTGAAGCGGTTTTCCTATTCCGGTCCTCTGAAGAGGAAGGAAGCTTCAGAAAACGAGGTGGGTATTTTGGACTACTCTCCCCAGTAGATTCTGGATAAGACGGCATGGGCAGGGACCGGGTCCGAAGGGGCTGGAGATTCAGTCTGGTGAGGTGTGGTGGGGGTCCCTGGACCCCGGAAAGAAGATGAGACCCTCCGGGAAAGTGTCGGCGAATGTTCCCAGCTCCCTAGACTCACTGCCTCTCCTGAGACCTGGGCCACCCACCAAGGGGCCCTGCCTAGTGCTCTGAAAGCCCAGGGAGCCCTGCTTCTCATCACTGCTGTCCGGAGAAGGCGGCAAGAAAGGAAAAGCTGCGGCATGTGTAGCCTGCAGTAGAGGAGGCAACAACTACATCTGGCCTCCCTGGGGGCAGATTGGGTGAAGACAGCTTCTCAGAAGCTTTCTGGGGTGAAGCCAAATCCTGAGACGGATATCCAGGCATGTTGCTGAGGACACCGATGAACGCCAGGCACAACATGCTAACGGATTTAGTCACTTTATTGTTTCAACAGAAAACTTCATCATCTTGCCACCAAGTGTTTTGAACCAAAATTACTTTGATGGCCTCTACACTGAGACCCCTTGTCAACTTGACCTGTCGAGAGAAAAATAATTCTCAGTGTAAAAAATGCAGATTCTCACTTTGTGTGGAAGGTGAATCAGTGGATGAAATCTGTTTCTGAAGGACTGTTTTCACTAAATTCTATTTTATGGCAGGTCCTACCCTGCGGTTTGGTTTTACTTGTTTGCTGTTATGGGCAAATCATAAACACGGAACCTTCATCCCCTCCACACAAGCTTCTAGCATCCAACTTACCTGACAGGAGTTTCATTGTCTCCAGTTCCCTTGCAGGTTGCACATTCAGATCTCCAGTCTTCAGCCTGGGGTTTCTTTTGCAGCACAAAGGCTCTTTGTCTTCTCTCTCTAGGAACTCTTTCCTGCCATCCAAGAGCTAATAAAAGAAAACAGGATAAGGATATAACGGAAATAATTTTCAGAAAGAAATCTTCTCAAAGGTAAGGCTGTGGAAAGGTGTGTAACTTCTTCCAACCTCATGTTTTCCTCCCTCAGGAACGAAGCTCTGTTTTCCTCCTCTGCTTCTCTGGGAGAACTACAATAGCAGCAAGAACAACATGGAAACTCCAGACCATATCGGGGGTTTGCTTAAGGACAAAATAAGTTTTCTCTGTCAAACATGGTGGCTTTAGTTAGGCTCTTGAGGAAATAACTATTATCATTCATACTTTATGGGACCAGCATATGTTGTGACCATCGATGCCATGGGAAATAAAAAGTAACAATTAAATGTACTGTATGTATACTTTCATAAATGTCTGTGATTAGCATTTATTCAGAGCATGTCAGTTTTCCGATCTTGTCTGGTGTGACTTCTACAGCTGAAATGCTAAATCCAGTGATTGTCCTACACACGTAGTTTGGCCACAGGTAGGCAGGTGCATGCATCTTTATGGACAGAGAGAATTTCTCAGCAGCAGAAGAAGAGCAGAAGGAAAAGGTCTCACAGCTCCTAAGTACTAGTTAAAGTCAAACCCGTTACAATGCCATAGAAAGCATTCCTGTAAAGTAATTCAGCTAAAATTCACATCGTACAGTTCAGATTACATTGATCAATGAAGGTATACAGATGTTTAAGAAAGACTGTAAGTACCTGGATATTTGCAGTCAATATGTTAGAAAACTCCACCAATCACATCACAGCCTCTGTGTAGATGTCACCATTCCCACATGCAGACCACTTTTCCTTAGAGACTGGAAGAGAAAGCAGGCACTGCTCCCCAGAATTACTTGGACAGCTGAGATCAAGGATCATTCCCAAGTGAGAGTAGGTACCAAATCATTCTGATCACAATGACATGATACTAGTAATCTGTTAATGTTTTCTTCCCTTATTGTCATTTCAATTCTTCCTCATAGCAAGCCAAGTGTGATTTCATCCCATGGCTAACTGCAGATCATTTAATTTGTCCCTGAAGAAGCAAAGAGTCCATTCAATGAGTAAATCAAGAAAAGGCAATTTAGGAACTATGTCTCTGTTTCCATCTCTCTTGCCCATCAATGTGTTTGAATTATCTCAGAAGGAAATTAGGAAGAGGCCCTTGAATGCAGGTAATGACTTCCAAAGAACAATCCTGAGTCTTGCTCCTGCAAATATCAATCATGACCCATCAGCACTGTCATCTCAAGAACCTACTCAAAATACAGAATCTCAGGCTCTCTCTGACACAGGAATGAAAATCTGTGTTCTTCACAAGAATCCTAACCAGAAAACCTACCAACACAGTAGTCCCTGAAAAAGACCTGAGGATAGTACCATCCCTACCTGTGCGGCAGGACCAAGGGGCCATGGAAGAGTATGGTTTCCACTGTGCTGTGTTCGTCTACTTTCTGCAGGAGTGACCTTCCCTTGGGATGGGCAGGTGATTAGGAGGGCTGCATGTGGGAGCCAGACCCCCACTACACTAAGGCTTCAGAAACCAGGAGCAACACAAAGAAGGCGGGGACCCGCAGCTCCTAAGCCGCTGAGGACACACATCCAGCAGAAGGTAGCCAGACTAGAGAGCAACCGCGATTGAGTGCACAGTTCACACTTATGCAGCATACAAGACTCGAACACACACATATAAACACGCAGAAAGATACACATGAACACATATAGACAGACAGACAGACACACACACACACACACACACACACACACACACACACCACAGGTAGACACACGGAGACATCCAACAGGTGCAGACAGCTCCTGAAGCTTCGGGTTCTGCTTTCTGACGGGAAGCCCCTCGGGGGGAGAGCAGCCCTCAGCACACAGCCTGGCAGTACCTGGAATTCCCAGCAGGGACAGCGTTCAAGGAGACGCATTTCCCACAGCGTCTGAGCAGGCCTGAAGTATCCTGGGGATCCTTGGGGATCGCCCTGGGCATCCCTGAAACTCCCCTGCAGCTTTCCTCAGCCTGGCTCCACCCTGCGGGAATCCTGAAATCACGGGACCTGGGCGACGATCCCGAAAGACGGGGGTGGGCCGTTGCCCAATGCCAAAGGACTGCCACGGAGGGCCCATGCCTTGCCCAGCCGCTGAGATGGCGGGGGGCGGTCACTGTGACGTGAGCCTCGGGTGGGCCCTCGCGGTTGTCACCAGCTGCTTGCGCATGCGCATTTGCGTTCCTGGCCGGCCAGTCGCAATGTCCGCGCTCCCCGGTTGGCTGGCAGCAGTGGCATGGGAAGATGCTGGCGGAGGTGTCCGAAGCGGCCCCTGAAAAGAAGGCTGCGTGCGACAAGCAGGGCAGGAGCCCTATCGCCCTGACTTCAGCGACTCCCTGAACCGGTTTTCCGTTCCACTGTTCCGTTCCACTGAAGGGGGAGGGCGCTTCAGACCGCCAGGTGGGCATTCCGGACTACTCTCCCCAGTAGATTTTGAATCGGACGGCATGGGCAAGGATCGGGTCCCACGGGGCTGGAGATTCAGTCTGGTGAGGTGTGGTGGGGTCCCCAGAAAGATGTCTGAGACCTTCCGTGAGGGTGTCGGCCAATGTTCCCCAGCTCCCTGAGCTCACTGCACCTCCTTTGACCTGGGCAGCCCAGGGACCCCTGCTTCTCATCCCTTCTGTCCAGAGTAGGCGGCAAGAAAGGAAAAGCCAGGGCAAACGCTGCTAGCAGTAGAGGAGGCAACAATTGCATCTGGCCTCTCCTGAGGGCAGATTGGGTGCAGACAGCCTCTCAGAAGCTTTCTGGGGCAAAGCCAAATCCCGAGACGGATATCCAGGCATGCCACTGAGGACTTCTATGAATGCCAAACACAGTATGCTAACGGATTTAGTCACTTTATTGTTTTGAGAGAAAACTTCATCACCTTCCGAGCAAGTGTTTTGATCAGAATTGCTTTGATGGCCTCCACACAAAGACCCCTTGACAACTTGACCTGTCGAGAGAAAAATAATTCCCGTTGTGAAAAATGCAGATTCTTACTCTTATGGACACCTAAGTCCAGACGGTAACCGTGTGTGGGAGGTGAATCAGTGGATGAAATCTGTTTCTGAAGGACTGTTTTTTTTAGTTTAAGGAAGGTCCTACCCTGCCGTTTGGTTTTACATGTTTGCTGCGATGAGCAAATCCTAAACATGATGCCTTCATCCCCTCCACACAAGCTTTGAGCATCCAACTTACCTGACAGGAGTTTCATTGTCTCCAGTGCTCTTGCAAGTTGCACATTTAGATCTCCAGTCTTCAGCCTGGGGCTTCTTTTCCAGCACAGACTCTCTTTTTCTTCTCTCTTTTGGAGCTCTTTCCTGCCATCCAAGAGCTAATAAAAGAAAACAGGATAAGAATATAAAGCAAACAATTTTCAGAAAGAAATCTTCTCAAAGGTAAGTCTGTGGAAAGGTGCGTAACTTCTTCCAACTTCATGTTTTCCTCCTTCAGGAACAAAGCTGTTTTCCTCCTCTGCTTCTCTGGGAAAGCTATAATAACAACAACAACATGGAAACTCCAGACCATATCAAGGGTTTGCTTAAGGACAAAATAAGTTTCCTCTGTCAAACATGGTTGTCTTGAGAAAATATCTATTTATCATTCATACTTTATGGGACCAGTATATGTTGTGACCATCGATGCCATGGAAAATGAAAAGTAACAAATTAAGTGTACTGTATGTATACTTTCATAAATGTCTGTGATTAGCATTTACTCAGATCGTGTCAGTTTTCCCAGCTTGTCAGGTGTTACTTCTACAGCTGAAATACTAAACCTGGGATCATCTTACACACATAGTTTGTCCACAGGTAGGCAGGTTCATTTGTCTTGATGGAAAGAGAGAATTTGTCGGCAGCAGAAGAAGAGTAGAAGGAAAAGGTCTCACAGCTCCTAAGTCCTAGTTAAGGTCAAACCAGTTACAATGCCAGAGAAAGCATCCCTGTAAAGTAATTCAGCTAAAATTCACATTGTACAGTTCAGATTACACTGACCATTTCAATGAAGGTATACAGATGTTTAAAAAAAACTATAAGTACAAGTGTATTTGCAGTCAATATTTAGAAAACCCTCTGCGTAGATGTTGCCATTCCCACATGCAGACCACTTTTCCTTAGAGACTGGAAGAGAAAGCAGGCACTGCTCCCCAGAATTACTTGAACAGCTTAGGTCAAGGATTATTCCCAAGCGAGAGTAGGTACCAAATCATTCTGAACACAATGACATGATACTAGTAATCTGTTAATGTTTTTCTACCTTATTGACATTTCAATTCTTCCTCATAGCAAGCCCAGTGTGATTTCATCCTATGGCTAACTGCAGACCATTTAATCTGTCCCTGAAGAAGCAAAGAGTCCATTCAATGAGTAAGTCAAGAAATGGCAATTTAGGAACTATATCTCTGTTTCCATCTCTCTTGCCCATCAATGTGTGTGAATTATGTCACGAAGGAAATTAGGAAGAAAAGTGAAGACAATATCCAGAAGAGGCCCTTAAATGCAGACGCCAAGTCTACAGTAATGACTTCCAAAGAACAATACTGAGTCTGGCTTATCAATCATGACCCATCAATACTGTCATCTCAAGAACCTACTCAAAATACAGAATCTCAGGCTCTCTCTGACACAGGAATGAAAATCTGTGTTCTTCACAAGAATTCTATCTAGGAAACCTACCAACACTGTAGTCCTTAAAGGGGACCTGAGGACAGTACCAGCCCTACTTATGCGGCAGGACTAAGGGCCCATGGAAGCGTATGGTTTTAGCTCTGCTGTGCTCGTCTACTTTCTGCAGGAGTGACGCCCCTTCGGGATTTGCAGGTGAGTAGGAGGGCTGCAGGAGGGAGCCAGACCTCCATTACACTAAGGCTTCAGAAACCAGGAGCAACACAAAGAAGGCGGGGCCCCACTGTGCCTAAGCCACTGAGGACGCACATCTACCAAAATGTAGCCAGACTAGAGAGCAACCGTGCTGGAGTGCACTGGTCACACTTATGTTTAGCATACACGACTCAAACACACATATGTAAACATGCAGAAGGATACATGGACACACATACACACACACACACACACACACACACACACACACACACACACAAACTCACACAGAAAGAAAGCCACACGGAGACATTGAACAGTTGCAGACAGCTCCTGAGGCTGTGGAGTTCTGCTCTCTGCCAGGAAGCCCCTTGGGGAGAGAGCAGCCCCCAGCACACAGGCTGGTTGGACCTGGAATTCCCAGCAGGGACAGCTTTCAAGGAGACACATTCCCCACAGCATTTGAGCAGGCCTGAAGTATCCTGGGGATCCTTGGGGATTGCCCTGGGCATCCCTGAAGCTCCTCTGCAGCTTTCCTCAGCCTGGCTCCACCCTGCCTGACTCCTGAAATCGCGGGACCGTGGCAACGTTCTCCGGGAGAAGGGAGGTAATGGCCCAAACTGAAGCACTGCCGAGGAAGGCCCCTGCCTTGCCAAGCCGCTGAAATGGCAGTTCATTAGGCCATGGGGCGGTCATTGTGACATGAGCGCCGTGTGGTCTTTTGAGCTTGTCACCCGCCACTTGCGCATATGCATTGGCGTTCCCGACTGGCCATCGGCTATGTAGGCTCTCCGGCACCAACCTGCAGCAGTGGCGTGGGATAATGCTGGCGGAGGTGTCGGATGAGGCCCCTAGGAAGGAGGCTCCATGTCACAAGTGGGGTGGCACATGAATGTAATCTCAGGCATTTCGGAGGCTAAGACAGGAGAATTGCTTGTACTTGGGAGGTGGAGATTGCAGTGAGCCAAAATGGTTCCACTGAACTAAAACCTGGGCAACAAGAGTAAAACTCTGTTTCCGAAAAAAAAAAAAAAACTCAGCATGGTTGCAGGCACCTGCATTCCCAACTTCTCAGAAGGCTGAGTCAGCAGAATGGCTTGAACCTGGAAGGTGGAGTTTTCAGTTGTCTGAAATCACCCACTGCACTCCTGCTTTGGTGACAGAGCAAGATTCTGTCTCAAATAAAAGAAAAAGCAAAACAAAATCAAACACTTCTGTGCTCATGCATCCTCCTACCTCAGCCTGCGAAATTGCTGGGATTATAAGAAAATGCCACCATACCCTGCCTGGGCCAAGATGTTAATAGAGAGTGGTAACCAGTGTGAGAAGTAAGGTATTGGGGGTAAGCAGTTTCCAGACAGAGGGCACAGCACATAAAAGAGAGAATCTGCATTTTTCACACCGGGAATTGTTTTTCTCTACACAGGACAAATTGACAATGGACCTCCGTGTACAGGTCGTCAAAGCAATTTCGGGGAAACACTTTGTAGCAAGATGATAATCTTTTCCGTGAAAACAATAAGGTGACTAAAATCCGTTAGCATGTTGTGCTTGGCTTCCATGGTGGTCCTCAGCGGCTTGCCTGGACACTGGTCTTGGGATTGGGCTTCACCCCAGATAGTTTCTGAGGTGCTCTCACCACCGGATCCACCCCAAGGGGAGTCCAGTTCCGGGTTTTACTGCCTGTGCCACTGTCTGCGCTTGCCGCTTCATCTTTCTTCACTCGAGAAGCAGGGGTCCCTGGGCTTGGACAACAAGGCAGGGCCCCTTGGTGCATGGTCCAGGTTGAAACGGGGCAGTGAGCTCATGGATCCAGGCAACGTTCTGCTTACACCCTCACGGAGGGTTTCAGGCATCTTTCTGGGGTTCACCAACACCCCACCACACCTCAGCAGACTAAATCTCCAGCCCCACGTGACCCAATACCTGCCCACACTGTCCGACCTGGAATCCAGTGGGAAGAGCAGACCCGGGTGCCCACCTCACCATCTCAAGCACCCTCCTCATCCAGCCGACTGAAACAGGATATTTGGCTCAGGGAGCAACTGAGGTCAGGACGGTCGGGCTCCTGCTCAGCTTGTGGCAGGCAGCCTCCTTCCCTGTGGCCACCTCGGATACTGCCGCCAGCATGTTCCAGTGCCCCTGTGGCCCCCCCTGCCACAGAACACCCACGTTGTCGCTGGCCAGCCGGACACGCCAATGCACTTTGTGGTGCATCATAAGTGTGAGCTCCCACCCAGGGGTAGCATCACAGTGAC